ATGACTCGTTCGACCTCTTCAGCGTCTACACATTTGAGCAGTGGATTTGAATAGCCCCTCTTGTACAGCGTTCCTCCTATGATCGTGTATCTCGCTGCTCGAATCCTTAGCGACCGGGCTTCTTTAGGGTCAGTCGGAAGTTCTTCTGTTTCTAAGTATGAACGGATCAGATCCATCCATTCGGGAGATTTGTCGCCGGTTGACTCCCCGATCGTCATGATTTGCTCCGTCTGAACAGTTGGTTTCTCCTGGTGTCGTGTGTATACATATTCGATCTCGTCAGTACCTCGACTGGATGCCAACCGTGCCAACGCGTCCGCCTGAGAGTTTTCGGACCGGGGAACGTGTTCGAGCTGGATGTTTGCTAGCGTCATCTTCTTGCGAGTCAAGTGTAAATATGGCACCAATCGAGATTCTTTGTCTCAAATTCCCCCGAGATCTGCTTTACCAACAACATTGAGTCCGAGTATACCTTTAAATTCGTGATGTTCATCGAGTGAGCTAAGTCCAAGCCGGATAGTAGTGCTTCGTACTCGGATTCATTATTAGTGGCGGCGAACAAGTATCGAACCGAATGGCAATACAGCTTTCTTTGAGGGTTGACGATTACAACTCCTCCTCCGGAGCCGTCGGTTGTGGCCGATCTGTCTATGTACATCTCCTATGTTTCTATAGTTTGGACCGGCTCGGCCCCCGTCATGAATTCGGCCACGAAGTCAGATTGCGCGTAGCCCTTTATCACCGTCCGGGGTTTGTATTGTAGGTCGAAATGTCCGAGCTCTACGGCCCACTTGATCATTCGCCCCGATGTATACGGTTTGTGGAGAATTTGTTGTATTGGATAAGCGGACAGGACGGTCACCTGGTGTTCGAGAAAATATGGCCTGAGTTTTCTCGAAGCAGTCACCAAGGCGAAAATCAACTTCTCGATCGGCGGGTATCAGACTTCAGCTTCATGTAACGCCTTGCTTACGTAATAGATCGGATGTTGGTTCGAACCTTCCTCTCGAATGATCACGGCGCTTATTGTAGTCGGAGTTATTCCAAAATATAGATACAACATTTCTCCTGGGATCGGCTTCTGTAGAACGGGTGGCCGGATGAGTGACTCCTTGATATAGTCCAACGCATGTTGACATTCGTCCATCCATTTGAACTTTTTGTTCTTTTTAATTGCCTCGAAAAAGGGCTTACATTTGTCCGTGGACTTTGATATGAATCGATTTAATGCCGCTAATCTACCCGTTAGGCTTTGTGTTTCCCTTATTGACCTAGGGGGTTTAGTTCGAGTATGGCTTTAATCTTGTCGGGGTTTGCTTCAATTCCACCTTTACTAACAATGTATCCTAAAAACTTTCCCGAACCGACTCCAAACGTACACTTTTTAGGGTTTAACACCATAGAGTAATCGCGCAAAATAGAAAACATTTCATTAAGATGGGTTACATGTTCGTTCGCAAAAACAGACTTAACAAGCATATCATCCACATAAACTTCCATGGTTCGACCGATCAGATCAGCAAACATCTTGTTCACGAGCCTCTTGTAAGTGGCGCCGGCGTTCTTCAGACCGAATGGCATCATAGTATAGCAGTAGAGTCCCCTGGCCGAATAGAAGGATGTATGTTCCTCGTTGTTCGGGTCCATTGGAATTTGGTGATACCCCGAATAAGCATCCATGAAACTCATGAGCTTGTGTCCGGACGTTGCGTCTACCATGTAATCGATGTCTGGTAGCGGATAGCTGTCCTTGGGGCAGGCCCGGTTGAGGTCGCTGAAGTCGATGCACAATCGCCACGTCTCATTGTTCTTCTTCACTAACACCGGATTGGACACCCAAACTGGATACTTTGTCTCTCGGGTGAATCGGTTGTCGATCAACTTTATTACTTCCCCCTCAAGTGCTTCTTGTTGATCCGACCACAAAATCCTTCTTTTCTGCACGATGGGTTTTATTGTCCGGTCGATCCTGAGGCTGTGACACGCTAGGTTTGGATCGATCCCTGTCATATCCTCATGCGTCCAGGCGAATACATCTGCATTTTCGATTAAAAAGGCAATTAACCTGAACCGGAGGGGTTTACCCAGGTTCCGTCCGATGCGCAATGACTTGGTGCAGGCGGGCTCGTCTAGATAAATCGCCTCCGTGTCCTCACTGGGTTCGGCACGTTCAGACTTCTTTCCTTTGAATTGATCTCTGGGGTCTAACTCATCTTTCTCTTCGACCCAAGCATTAGGTCACCGATAAACAAAGCCTAAAGGTAAATAAGTATTAGGAAGCAATGATTCATGTTATAAATACAATTACACTCGTAAACTGAAAGGCAAAAGCATTGTTTCCTCCTACAAACAACATTTTATCCAAAATTTTGAGTGTGGGCCTAGGCCCACCCTCGTCCCCATTTGCATCCGCCTCTGACCAAGTCACACCCCAACAAAGAAAACCAACCGAGCACCAAAACTAGGCTCCAAACCTGAAAATTGCGGCCACTCTACCGCCTAGACAATTTTTCGGCCCAAATCTGAGCCCCGAAGACCTTCACCGTCGGGGAAAAGAAGGAGAGCCATCATGAATCCGCCGGAGGACTAGAAGGGAGAGTTCAAGGAGACAGCAGCCTGCAATCGTGCCGCCCGGCTGAACAGGGGCACACGGGTCGCGAGTTGGGCTCGCTCACGCTAAGGTCCGTCTCCAGGAAGTACATGGCTGCACATATCGAGCGTCCAAACGGACCGACGAACTTCCGCGGTTGGGCCTTGCAAGAGTAGTCGACGACCTCGACGGTGGCGGGGGATAAACCGAGGAGCGAAAATCGTTGCTGGCCAACCACCCGCAGCACTCTTAGAGGCGAAAAGGAAGCATCCAGCAGCGACTTAGCCGCGACGGCCGGTGACTACGGGAGTCGCGCCACCGGAAAAGGGGGGCAACGTTGGGGATAGGGTTTTCTTTCTTTCGCGGTGGAGAAAGGGGGAAATTAGGGTTTTCTAAAGATTATGAGATAATGGAGTAAGTTTTTCACATGTTTTCATCCAAGTAAAGCATGGGTTGTAGCTACTGCCTTGCCGAAGTTATATACACACAATCTCCAGATTCTCATACGCTCTCGGCTTATACGAGAAGTTGAAAATTGATGAGAAATTGGAAAAATATAAAAACATGTGAAAGAAGCTTGTGTAAGATTAAAATGCAACAAACTTGTAATTGATCGAACTGTTCACAAAATTCTCTATATATTTTGGGAAATTATCTGCAACCAGTTCAGTCAACTCTTAGTGTTGACTGCTCTCTAGTGGGTGGAAATTCCTAGAAAGGTTCTTTTGGGTTATTTTGCAATAATCGTGCTCGAGAGTTGTTCGTTTTATGTGAGTTGCTTGATTACTAGGGTTAGTTGATTGTTCATCGCTAGGTAAACGACCTTTAGGATCAAAAGGGGTGGGTGTTGAACTTAGGCTCGTATGAGGTGAATGTTTCCTTCTAATATTCTCATACGACTTTTAGAACCGAAATAGGAGGAGTCGTTCGACTTAGACTCGTATAGAGTTGGTTTGTTTGTAATTGCATTGCTTATGTGTTAATTGATTTTGACAACTTGTCGTTCATATTTATTCTCTTGTTAAGAAGAGTTATTGAGAATAAGCCTCCAGACGAATAGGCTAGACGAACCCTTTGACCAAATGATTTCATTTGCCTGGTATTTACTTTTGGAACTAAAAGCGATTACCCCTAATTCCCTAGATTATTATCACCATTTGAAATGTGGTTAGAATTTGGAATCTGAGCAATTGTGTTGTGCTTGGAACCTTTAGATGATAATCCAAATCAAAACAGAATTGATTAGAGTGTTTAGGAATTTATTTCTCTTCTTGTGTTGAATATTCGTACAAAATAATTCAGCTAACCTTCCTTGCGATACGACCCGGGGATTGAATATTTCGATTTAACTCTGGTAAAAATAACTATAATATGCCGCTTTTATGAATTTCCAACGGAGCGGAAAGTTTCTCTGTTGTTGCATTTTCACCACCACTATGGGATTATATTTGTAGTCATAAATGGTGCAAGAGTTGTCTTTGAACAATATAGTGTATCCTCTTTCCATCTGTCCCAAGATGAGTAAATTAGTATCAAGATTTGGTACTAGCAGCACATCTTCAGCGAGACGAGTACCTTTTTGGGACTCGACCTCAGTTGAGCCTTTGCCTTCAACTTCTACTAGATCTCCATTGCCCAAACGAACTTGTGATTTTCCAGATCTATCAATATCTTTAAATTTCTTCTCATCTCCAGTCATATAATTGTTGTAGCTGCTATCTAAGAACCAAATATATTTCTTTCTCTTTTGATGTTGCATGTGTTGCATAGAATAGCAAATTTTCTCTTTTTTTTCATTTTCTTCAGAGAAATTTGCCTGATGTCTTTTGGTGTGACAATTTTTTTATCACAATTTTCACATTGTGGTTTATTTTGGTACCAACAATCTTTCTCGAGATGGTTGGTCTTTTTACAAACTCCGCAAGATGGATATTTTCCTTTTTGTTCATTATTATTATTTTTCACCTTGATTTTTAGTTTTGCTATTTTCTCCAAATCTTCTCCCCCCCAATTTTATAATTCTGAGACCGTAAATTTAATTTTGACTTAAATGCATTTTCGATTATATCATTTTCACGCATACTCAGTCTTTTCTCTTAGGTTTACATGTGTACCTATTAATTCTGTCACTGACAAATGATCCAAATCTTTAGTTTCAGTCATCGTGATGATATGATCGAATTTGACTGGTAGAGTAACTAGAATTTTTTCTATTACCTTTTCATCAATTATATTTTATCCATATGCTTTTAATTGATTTACTACTTCTCATTAGTCGGGTGTAGTAATCATTTATAGTCTCAAAGTTTTTCATTTTTTTATTTTTAAATCTCTCCTTAGGGTTTGTAATTTTAGATGGTGTACCTTGTCACTGCTTTGATATTCTTCCTTTAGAGTATCACAAGCCTTCTTTGGTGTTTGTGCTCAACATATTCTTGGGAATAGAGACTACGTCATAGCCATTTATAATGTGAAGAGGGTCATACTATCTTTCTCCTTCTCCTGGTGGAATTTTTCTTTGTCCGTCGTCGACAAAGTAGATATATCTTCGGGTATGGTATACCCGTTTTCAACAATATTCTATAGGCTGTGGAATATAAAGTATGTCCTCATTTTGATAGACCAAATAATTATAATTTTGGCCGGAGAAAATAGGAATTGGTATATGATGGCTATTTTGGGAAGTGGCCATTGTAGGAATTTAGAGGGGTATTTGGGGATGATGTGTGAAAATAGGAAGATATGAAAAATAATTTCACTCAGCTATTGATCCAATCGGTTATGATATCAATGTTGGTATCTAAAGACATTATGGTGTAGAATAATATATATTATTGCTATTATTATTATTTTAGTACTTAAATTAACATTTAGTAGCTTTCTTAGTGATTAAGTTAGGTTTAGATTAGGGGCCTTATATAAAGGTCTCTCTAGTTTATTTTACTCAATTGATTATTGAAATGAAATAAGATTTGTGACTTTTGTGTATTTTACAAGAGAGTATCTCGTTTATCATTCCCATTCGTACGCTTTTTCTTACATCAGTTGGTATCAACAGTCAGTACGATTCGCGATGTCGCCGGAACGACAAGATGCCGCAAACAAACAACGTGATGCAACATTCAACGATCGGTTTCAACAGATTGACTACCGATTTCAAGAGTTGGACGTGCGTTTCAATGATTGGTTTTCCGATCTTTCGACGGGGATCGAGAATTTTCATTTGACGCTTAAAAACATGGTTGTTTCGGAATTGCAAACGAACCCGATGGGAACGTGGGCCGTGGCTTTCGCGGGGGAGACAGAGGTGGTTGTGGGGGACGCTGCCATATCGGGGCGGTCCCCGCCACCTCAGAACAGCTTCATGGACGACGACGATCAACACAACGACATGGGCTGACACGAGGAAGCAGCCTTCGCTGGCAGATATCGTCACTACAAGAATAATCATTTTTAGGACAACAAATTTTGTCGCTATGTCGTCACAAAAAATACCGTCACAATAAGAGGTATTATTGTGACAACATTCGAACATATAGCGACAATATTAGGACATTATTAGCGACGGTATTTTTTCTGAAGACATAGCGACAAAAATTACCGTCATTAAAAATGATTATTCTTGTAGTGCGTGCCCGACGGGATTGGAGACTTGATCGCGAATATGGTCATTGGGAGGGTCCGTTTCGCGTCGACATCACCGACTTCGATGGAGAACAAGTTGACGGGCCATTGTTTGACAGTCCGCCGATTTTCGATTAAGAGCTTCTGGGGCCCGAGGTGACGCTTTCTGATTTTGGCTTGTGTAAGCCAATGGAAAAATATTCATTCATGTTACTAAAGGTTGCTGATTTTATTGCTACGTATTCTAAAAATGAGCGCCACAGGCATTCGGGCACAAAAAACTGCGCTACAACAGTGGAAATTCAATCATCGTTCATTAGCATATTCTACAGTGGGGACTTGATTATTTGGCGCCAAAGGTTTTATTAAAGAAAGGGGTGACATGTCGTAAGATAAAAAATTTGAGAACATGTTTGAAGTTCCCTGAAGAACCAAAAATATCGTATGAGGCTACGGATCTGATCCTCCATTTATGTGAGGTTGAGCGACATTCAACCTTCGTGTTCGATCGGAGGAAACGACGGGGTTTACTACTATGAGTTCGACACCACACGCCGGCCAGGCGAGCGCATTAGCTTCGAGGGCGAAGCCTTTCGAACCAGGGGAGAATGGTGTAGAATAATATTAATATTATTATTATTATTGCTATTATTATTATTATTTTAGTATTTAAATTAACATTTAGTAGCTTTCTTGGTGATTAAGTTAGGTTTAAGATTAGGAGCCTTATCTAAATGACTATTTTTAGTTTATTTTACTCAGTTGATTTTTGAATGAAATAAAGATTTGATTGGTTTTATCGAGAGAGTATCTCGTTTATTCTTTCCACTCGTACGCTTTCTCTACATCACATTATTTATTAAATTAAGATTTAAGTTTAAATATATGGTTTTGGGAACAAAGTAGTTGTGAAGCAGAGAGTAGTTTAGAAGTGAATTAGTCTCTCTTCTTCTTCTTCTTTTTTTTTTTTTTTTTGGTTACAATTACAATTCTTGCACCTCTTAGCTATATTTAAAGGAAAATGCTAACTATATACATGATTCTGAACACTTAAGAAGTCTCCTAATAAGTTAATAATTGTTTTTTAATCCTATAGCCTAGAATCTTCCTTGAGCATCAATGTTTAATAATAATCATCTCAAAATATATATTATGTTTGTTTGTATCATAAAGAGTTGGTCACAAGATTAGTTACTAATACAAATACACTTATTTAAAGTACATTCAGTTTTCGAAAATATACATTACGTATCTAAATCCCCCTATATATTAATATAGAACGCGTTGAGCCTACGTGGCTGATTCTGGTACTTCGGAATCCTATGTGGCAAAATTACATGCTTCGTTATTAAGCTTGGATAAATTTTAATTTAATTTCAAACTAAAAATAATTAGGTTCGGATTATCAGGAATATGTTGATTATTTATGATCATGTTACATGCATTAATTGTATTTTTATATTATTCCTTATTATAACTATTGAATTGTATATGTATTTTAAAAGTTAATAACTTTTGTATTTTTTATCAGTTTTACATATGTAATATATCAAATTAATCTTTTTTTGATGAGCTTCAATTTAACATCCATATTGTATGTATTAAAAAAATAATTTATATTTATCTTTATAACAATAATAAAATTATTTTTAATATTAAGTAGAAAAATAAAATTATTTATCAACTAATATATTCATATTTCAAGTAGTTATATGATATAATTTATAAAAAATAATATAATATAACACATGTAAGTCATAAGTAACACATATCATTTTAAAATATATAGTAATATATTTTTTTTTAAAAAAAAAAACTAAATTTAATATAGTTTTCTCATTAATCTTAAAATTTAAAAATAATTTTTTAACAAGCACCCGTGTAATACACGGGTGTTGTACTAGTCATTGTTATTTCGTAACAACTAAAATTCGGTAGCAAATTTTGGTTAGTAATGCACCTATTTCTAGTAGTGAGAAAACCCAATCCAAATAGTTTTTTTTTTTTTTTTTTTTCATTGGATAGCTTAAGTAAGACGATCTGCAAAACCAATGAATTAACCTAATGTTGTTTTCTAAAAAAGTCCATAACTTTATTATAAACAACGTCCTTAGCAGTTATCCCCATAATAAAGTCGGCATGAGCAAAATCCTTGATGTACTGCACGTGAAGCTTGTCCACGTCATGATCCTTAAGAGCATCAAGCAATGTGGCCACGTCCTTAACGTCCGATAGCGCGTCTTCTCCTCCATAGCTCAAGAAGAGGGGGAAGTCGTGGGGGATTCTGGTCAGGTCGTAAACGGGAGGGCTCGACTCACCATAATGCTCCAAATTGAACGCTGTGTTGCCGTAGTCGTACTTGGACAGGACTCCATCTCTAACCGCTGCAAATTCATCAGTCGATCCTCAAGATTCATTCTAAATTACAAGAAAGTAGATCTAGGTGTGTTTTTTGAGATTACGAGAACGAACTTACTTTGAGCTAGATGGACAAGGTTCTTAGTCGATGTGGATTGAGGTTCATGCTTGAGAAAAATGTCGACCGTAGATGAATTGAGACAGCAATTCCTTCCTAAAATTGTCGTCATACAAACAAGCAACATGAAATCCAAGTGATGGATACATTTAATAATTAGTAGCCAAAAAAATGAAGAAAATAAAATAGCTCGTTGTAAAATCAAATACCCGTAAATGCGCTCATCAAGTCATAGCAGTCTATTCCAGAAGCAGTACACAGTGCATGCAGAAAATTATTCGCCGGCTCCCTGTAAAAGCAAGTAACATATATAGTCGTGTAAGTAGAGATTAGTAAATAAATTCATACAAATAGTATATAGAAAGAAGATCGAAAAAAAATTAAGTATTTGCTCACATACCCTTTGGGGTCGAATTCTGCTAGACCAAACGCAGTAGTGATCTGTTAAGTAAAAAAAAAATCTTCTTTTAGAGAAATCCTTTAACAATTAGAAGATTTAAGACAGAATATTTCATAATAGAAACTAAGTACATTGCATGCATTTAATGGTGAACACAAAAGATCGTATATTCTTACTTCACCAACAAAGGCTCTAGCTGCCATGTTTCCTAGAGCAGTAGTCATATGACTTAGATATGCAATCGGGCTCAACAGAGCAGCCGACTTAACCTTGTCTATCAGTTTCCCTTCTGATAATGAGGCCAAAGCTATCAAAGTTCCCTGTTATACGCCAGCCATGATCGACCAAAAATATCGCAAAAATTATCTAGTTAGGATTCGATAATATTGTTCGTGTAGTAAAGAATAAAATACTAGTTAATTAAGTGGCCAACGTACCATTGAGTGGCCAACGTAGTGAATTTTCCGACCGGTTTTTTTGAAGACTAGATCGATTACAGATGGTAAGTCGTGGATCACCAGGTCGTCCCATGTCCAATTCCAGAATTCCTATATATCCGTGGTCATGCAATATTATATGATCTTGTTAAATTAATTCACCTATAATACAATTATGATAATAATATATAGAAAAAAATGATTTAAGTTCTCTCACAGGATCGTGAGGATCAAGTTGGAGATGGCGGCGGCTAAACCGAGTTCCTCGAATGTTGGAAATCCAAACATCGAACCCATTATCAGCCAATATCATCGCTAGAGATTGTTCTGGAGAATTTAGCACCCACGTCATCCCGTCCTGCATAACAAACAAACACTTAGTAGTATTTCCGGTTAAAAATTATTACCAATCAATAAAGAGGTCAATTCAAAAGGCATACTAATAAAAACAAAAATAGATGTGATATTTGTCCGAACTCAGGAGGAGACTTTGCTGCATACATTGAGGGACTGCTCCGACGCCTCTTTAGTATGGGAAAGGTTAGTGCCTAGAGTCACTTAGAATGATTTTAATACTTTGGACTTGGAGGATTGGCTGGTAATAAGTTTGACAAATGCTCGAAATTTGGATGTTGTGGATTGGGATGTAACATTTGGGCTAGCTTTATGGCGCATTTGGAATGCACGTAATCGGAGAATTTTTAAAGGAGAAGCGACAGTGTGAGGGCGGATTGTTGAAAGAAATTGAAACTTGGAAGAGTAATGTCTCCTCGCGCGGTTATCAGGGGAGAAAGACGGTTGGGTGGGTTCGGGATCGGACGTGAGATGGTGTACGTGAAATGGATGGCCCCTCCTGGGGGTGGATTAAAATAAATACGGATAGCTCCTTTAACCCGTCGTCGGGGATGGCTTGCGCTGGTGGAGTACTACGCGATCATTGTGGCCGGTGGTTACATGTTTTTACCATGAATATCAGTTTATGCTCCATTACAGGGGCGAAATTATGGGTGCTTTTCCAAGGGCTCCAACTAGCATGGAGCACGGGTTATCGTCAGGTACTTGCGGAAGTGGATAGCTTATGTGCTTTCTCGATGATTCAAAGTGTCAATGTTGTGCATGGGATATATTAGTTCTTTAATCTTGGACAATAAGGATTTATTGAAGAGGGAATGGTCGGTGAAGGTATGTCATGGATACCAAGAATCCAACTTTGTTGCGGATTGCATGGCGAGAATGGCTACAAGGAGTCCGGGTGGATTCTAATCTTTCGATGTGCCACCGGATGAGGTTCGATAAAGTAAACAAAACTGTGTTTATCTATTGCAGCAGACAGGAATGTGTCTTATTGTATTTGATCACCAACACGTTAAGCATTCAGACAAACGACGCTGTAATGACGTGGCAACTTTTTATTACCATAAAGCACAGATAAAATGAGACCCTTGGAATTTAGTGACGCAATCGGTCAACTTTGAGTTCAGCTTCTTATCCTTTTATTTTTTTTTAAATTTAATTAAATTATCTCTTATAAGGGAGGTTAAACTGGAGTTTAATAGTTCACTAGTCTGGACCAATGATTAAGTTGATCGAACTGATATTTAATTTATTAACATTTTTAAATATATTACAACTAGTACGAATCCCGTGCGATGCACGGGTAAAAGATATTCATTAATATTTATAAATTAAAAATAGTTATTAAATAATATTTATAAATTAAAAATACTGAATCAATATGTAATACAATTTATATATATTTTAATTTATTGAAAATGTCACATGAATTCTATATCGTGCTAAACTACATAAAACACGTCAATTTAAAATTAGTACACAATCTTTATAGTGCACGTAACTAATAATAAAATACATTATAATCGTTTCAAAATGAAGGTCATTTTAAAATAATTATTTACAAGTTCGATTTGACGACAATGTGAATCAATAAAATAATTATTTTGGTAAAATTTTTATTATCATATATTTAAAATTCGATGTGGGATATATTCATAAACATATATTCATAGATTCTATGGTAATAAATTTGTAAGATAATTGCGGTATGATTAACTCAAGTTAAATATGAACTAAAATTTTCTAAGAAAATTTCGGATCTATTTAACATAGAAATTTTATTTAATGTGCAAACATGCTAGTAAAATTTAGAAGGTAAGTTAATGGATTTCATTCTGATATTGGATGGAAATTAAAAATGAAAGTAAAAAAATATTAAAAATTACTTTATTTAGTAAGCAAGAAAAAATAATCAAACCTTTTACATCGATATAGATATAGATACTTTATGTAACAAATGTATGCATATAAATATTGTTAATCGAATTGAATTTTTAAATGCTTAAATTAATTGATAAATATTTCATACATATTTATTATATATGGTTATGTATTATTTTTGCTTATATTAAAAAACACTTTTAAGCATACTAAAATTTATTCTAAAAAAATAAAATTAACCAGATTTGTCGGTCCAACTGGTCTGTTTTTGACCGGTTTTCATTTGTTTTCACCAATTCAACCGGTTCACTAGCAACCAGTTTTTTCCAGCGATGCCAATTCCAGGTCGGCCCAACGGTTCGATATGATGTCGAAAAGGATCATGCTACTTGTACTCTTTTGTGTACCACTTGGTTTACATCCAAGTGGTTCATTAACGGTAAATGGGTACATGTACCACTTGGATGTAAACCAAGTGGTACACCAAAAGCTACATATAGCATGATCCTATAAATAATGACCAGTATTTGACTAACAACTTTATATTATTACACCTAACAAACAATGCAATTTGCACCACAATCCACAATAAACAAATTGTACAAGTAAAGTTGTAATAAAACAATAAAAAAGGGACCAGGAATCATGGTAAATAATTGCAAATTGTGCTATTTTGGTGGGTTTGATGTCCACTCCTAAAAAGTAATTAAGTACTATTTTTGTTTATATTAAGAAAATGTCAAAATTTTGTTTATAATATTTTTTTTAAGGTATATCTATCACTTGTATATGAAAAATGTGTAGTTTTTTTTTTTAAGAGAATCCATTAGAACTGTCTGAAAAAACACTTCACTGTTCTTAAATATATGCCCATGGCCATACCCAACATTAGTATCATCACTCTAATAAAAAAAAAACAAGGTTACATATCTATTATTATATAATAGTAATAAAGATTTACTTTAAGTTACAAAGTAAATTCCCGCTTAAAAATTTAAATTTTACTACATTTTGTAATTTTTTTTTGAAACTCTTCGAAAAAGTAGCGGTTGATTTGTAATTTGAATTTTAGATTCATTCAAACATTTAAAGCAAAATATCATAGCAGATTTTTTTTTTATGCATTAATATTCTGTTTTGTCTTAACTTACATAATCAAATTCCTATCAATCATTAAATTTGCTCATATATTTTTAAATTAATTACATCAATAAATAATATTAATGTGCATTAAAATATTTATCATTATATAAAAAAATAATTTTACATTTTATTAGTGTTTATAAATAGTAATGACATTATACTACAATAAATTTTTTAATAAAATCATATTTGAATATTATGATGGACTAAATATGTAACATTATCATTCTTTTTGTATTAAAAATAAAAATATATATATGTTACAACATTATTTATATTCATATAAACAAGTCAGCGAGTTAACATATTGTTCAAAATAAAGTTTTGAAAAAAATATTCTAAATACGAACACCCGTGATTCTCACAAGTATATATATATATACAATAAAGAACATAAAATTTATGTATAACAAAATAAAAATTAAAAAAAATACTTACCACAAGGACCCCATGTTGCAGCAGAACCGGAGGCCGGGTCGGGCTTGCGGTTCCAGCCCGGCCCTGAGGAATCCTTTGCACGCTCAGTATGTATCCATCATCAGTCGTCACCTGGAAACACATATTATCAACAATCAAATTTTCCATCGTCAATTCACATCTTACAATAATTAGTTTGTGAAACTGTGGTGCGAATAATTAAAAAAAAAA